AGTCGGAGGAGGAAAAGGTACCCGTACCTCTCTACCTCTGCCTCGGTTGCCTTTTTTTGGTGCCTCCTGGGCGGCCCTCGTCGTTATCGCTGGATTCGCCTCGAGATCCTGGTCAGAACGCACCCCAGGAGAGGTCCAGGGAGTAGCGGTATCGGTACCTTTTGGTTTCCCCACGGAGTGACCTTTGGTGCAGGCCCACTGAGGTCCCCCTATCGCCGAACGGGAGACGAGAGTGGCGTCTTGCGCGCTTGCTCGCTCGTGTTTGACCTCCCTCCCCCCCCGCGGCTTCCAAATAACCGCGCGCCAAAAGCCACTCTTACCCAGGGTCACTCGTGCGTGCAGCCGAACGATGCGGCCTCGCTGGCGAACCGCAACGCGGGCGACGCGATGGGCGACATGCACTACGTCTGCCTGATGCACGACGGCGGGGGCTACCAGGACTCACGGGCGGGTTCGGTAGCAAGTGATTGGAGCCTGGTGTGCCCTCTCAATGCCGTCTTTAGCGTCGACTAGCGCCGACTGGCGTCTGGGAATCGATGAGACAGCGTCGATTTCGCGTCGGTTAGCGTCGATTCAGCGTAGGCTAGCGTCCATTAGCGTCGATTTAGCGTCGATAAGCGTCGACTCACAAAAGACGACAAGATGGTATGGGAGGCTCCCATGAGTTGCAGCTGAAGGTGGGACACATGTGCATGTCCACGGCCTCGCGGTCCGGGCAGTTTGGCCGCGAGCCCACGGATACTGGACGGCTCTGCGCAGAGGCCCCGCACTGAGCGCATCCGTGGGATCGCGTATCCATTGGACCGTGCCTCGGCATCTCGGTCGCGAGGGCATGGGCATAGACATGCTCGTCGCTTGTAGCAAGGACAGTCTGGTGAGTCGGTGGCGCGTCACCGTCAACACCTCGTGGGGGCCATACGCGGTCTGCAACACGATGCTGGGAGATCGCTGCCTCGGGCTGCCAGGTCCGCCGCCGGAGGAAGTCCATACCCACCGCTTCGGAGTCGTGGCCCTGGGCTCTCGAGGAGTGACGGGTGCGGACATCTGCCCGCCTGCGTGGGCGGGCAGCTGCCCATGTCCACCTCTCCCCGAGTCCCCGGGGACACGGCCCCGCGGCAGTGGATGGGGGGACACATTCCCTGGCTGCGCACCAGGGTCCAAGTACGTCGGTCGGGAGAGCGCCGTGCACCATCACCGCAGGGGGCAGTGCACGGCCAACGCCGCCGGCGGGAGCTGGCTGTCGTTCCCGGCGGACGGCGAGTGCGCCGCAGGAGGGGACGGGGACCTCGAGATGCTGGATCTGATGGTGCTGATGCTGGTGCTGAGGATGCTGAGGAGGATGTGGTGAATGCTGCGAAGGTGGAGGTGGTGGTGATTGTGATGGTGATGACGGTGATGAGGGTGAGGATTGATCGGGTGATGTGTGCTGGGCCATGGGTGGTGATGTTTTGATTGTGGCGGCAATGGTGGTGGCGGTGTTGGTGGTGGTGATAGTGTGGATGACGATAATGGATATGATGAATATCACAATGACGATGGCGATTATGGGGACGGTGACGACGACGACGGCGACGACAATGACGACTTGACGACGGCGACGACGACGACGACTACGACGACGACTAAGATGGGCGACGACGCTGGCCGACGATGACGATGATCGACGGCGACGTGACGAGGACGACGACGACGCCGACCGGTGGCGATCGACGACCACGTCGATCGACGACGAACGATGACGATCGACGACGAATGACGACGACTACGATGATCGACGATGACGACGATGACGACGATCGACGGGGAACGACGACGAACGACGACGACGATGACGACGACGATCGACGACGAACGACAACGGCGAGGACGCTTCTCCTCCTCCTGCTCCCTGGAGCTTCTTCCTGAATTCTCTTGTTGCCCGCCGCAGACGGACCGACCGACTTGCAGGCCCACCACGACGACGATGACGAACAACGACGACGACCGACGACGACGAGGACGACGATCGACGACGGTGGCGGCTAGGATGACCACGACGACGACGACGGCGACGACGACGAGAACGACGAGGACGAGGACCGCGACGACCGTGACGACAACGAGGACGAGGACGACGACGAAGAAGACGACGACGAAGGCGACGACGACTGGACGATGTCCGCCTCCTCCTCCTCCTCCTCCTCCTCCTCCTCCTCCTCCTCCTCCTCCTCCTCCTCCTCCTCCCCTCCCCCTCCTGCTCCTCCTCCTGCTCCTCATCTCCTCCTCCTCCTCCTCCTCCTCCTCCTCCTCCTCCTCCTCCTCCTCATCCTCATCCTCATCCTCCTCCTCCTCCTCCTCCTCCTCCCCGTCTTTATTAATCCTCTTTCCCTACGGTCTTCGCTATTGGCCCTCTCACCGGGTTGCTGCTGTCCCCGGGCCAGGCAGCGGTGCGCTCTCCCTGCGCGGGCCCCCGCCCCCGTCCAATCAATGGAGTCAGGCAGGGTGCCCCGGGCGGACTGTAGGGCAACGCGACGAAGCCTCGCGTCCATATACTTCGAGGAGGATGAGGAGGAGGAGGAGGAGGAGGAGGAGGAGGACGAGGAGGAGGAGGAGGAGGAGGAGGAGGAGCAGGAGGGCGAGGGGCGGCTGCGGCGGCGGCGGCTCCCGTCCTGGCCTGCGCGTTGAAGGGCTGCGCCCTGGCGCTGGCGCCTGGGATCAGTTGTTCTGTCTCTGGTCGTGACTGCGTAAGGCCGGAGGCTCATCCCCTGGAGCGCCTCTGCCTTTGCCTCTCCTTCCTCCCTGGAGTTTCTTTTCGAGCTCTCGATCGGCCTGCCCCTGCCCAGGCCAGCCCGTCGGCGCCGCGGGGTGCACCTGGAAGGCGGAGCGCGCGCGGACGGTGGCGGCGCGCTGCGTGCTGGAGGAGCGCGGCCTCGCCCGGCTGTGCAGGGAGACCCGCGGCACAGGCGCGGCCCCCTCCTCCCCTCGGGGGCCCCCGAGCGGTGCGGCGAGCGCGCCCGTGCGGGGAGCCAGTGGGGCGCTCGGGGATGTCGGACGTTCTCGTCGGTTCCTCCAGGGTTTCCTGCCTCGGGGTGCGTTCCATGCGGGGGGGTTGGGCAGAACCCCCACCCCGACACGTCGATTCGCGAATGGCCCGTTGTCGGTCCTCGAGAGAGGGCGCCGCGGCCGTCATTTTCCAGGCTTGCGTCCGCCGGGTTTGGGCCCGAGGTCGTTTTCACTAAACCACGTTTTACTGAAGGGGGTTCTGTCCATGTCCGATTCCAGCAGCTGCGCCTTGCCGAGAGCGTTTCGGGGGTGGCTGGATTTTCCCGAAACGCCGCCGGAGACCAGAGTTGTGGCCCCGAAGCGAAACGTTTGGGGGTGACCGCACGGTTTTGGGGTTTGGGTTGTTGGTTGTTCTCCGCAGTTGTTTCGGGGCCTCCAGGTCCCACAACCGTGCTGTGACGGACCCTGCGGGGGTCCATCGCCGATCTGTCGGCGACGTACCATCGGTTCTAAGTCATGCTTCCGCCACTGATCGGAGGGCGCTAACTGTACACCTGCACCGAGCCTGGCCAGGCCAGTACTGTGCCCAGGGTTGATGCGTATGCACTGGTCATGCACCCTTCTTGGAAACTAGTGTATCTTTTGCAGGTCGTGCCGAAGAATCGTCTGGGGGACTTCCCTGGGGGTAGTTTTTTTTTATCCTGGGTCCGTTTCTGACGGCCCCTGGGCCCGACAGCGGCGCCGGGAGGCCCAAACTACGAAAAGCCGAAGGCGACGAACGCAAGCAAATCGACGATTCAAGCTGCATTGCTTTCCCAGGGCAGTGTGGGCCGAAGATGAGTCTGGCCAGGGTCTCGGTACAGTTGTGCAGTTGGAGCACTCCTGCCTTCCGGTCCCGCATCTGTAGGCCTCCCAGATGGGGTCCGAGTAGATGGGTCAGAAGATCGCGCGCCGCATCGGCGATGCATCGCCGATGCATCGCCGCTGCGGCTCGATGTGGTGCCCGATTTTCTCCACGCCGACGGCGCCGATGCATCGACGATGTATCGCCGGTGTATCGCCGATGCGTCGCGATCCTCCGATCCCATCTACTCGGACCCCATCTGGGAGGCCTCTAGCATTAAGTCGGGCCTGTCCCTCCACAGGAGGAACCTTCAAAACATCGTCCCAGAACAGTCCGCGGACGATGCCTTGATGTTTTGTTTTGACCATTTGGGGCGCCGTCTGTTTTTGTTTTCACTCCTCCTCCCACTTGCGCCTGCAGGAGGACATGCCCAGCCGAACTCTCCGGCACCCCCTCGCGAGCTGTCGCGCGCGCGAAGGGAAGCGCCCCGGTCGGGCCGCAAGGGCCGCAGGGGCCGGTCGGGCAGGGCGCTCCGCGCGAGTCGGGACCTTGCGAACCCTCCACAGAAGGCCCGGAGAAGGAGGAGGAGGAGGAGGAGGAGGAGGAGGAGGAGGAGGAGAAGGAAGAGGAGGAGGAGGAGGAGGAGGAGGAGGAGAATTGTGCAGGAGGAGGAGGAGGAGGAGGAGGAGGAGGAGGAGGAGGGGCCGCCTCGGCGTGCACCCTGCCGGCCGCCAGCGTGCGCCTGCCCCGCGGGGAGGGTCCTCTGGCGCCCCAGCTGCGACGTCAGCCCCGGAGTCATCCAGGGAGGGTATCGGGCAGCCAATCTCGGGGGGCTGGACAGAACCCCCAACAGTGACGCGTCGATCAGTGGATTGTCCGTTTTCGGTTCTCGAGAGGGCGCCGTGGCCGTCGTTTTCCAGGCTCGCGCCCGCCAGGTTTGGGCCTCGGGTCGTTTTCACCAAACCACGTTTTGCTAAGGGGGGTCTGTGCATCCCCGAATCTCGGGGGCGGCAAAGAGGGGGGTGATGGCCAGGGGGGCGTGGCCCTCGCCTCGTCGTGCGTGCTTTCCCTCCCCTGTTCCTCCCGTGCCGTCCCCCTCCTCGTTGCTCCCTCCCCTCCTGGGGTAGCCCCCCCCCCTCCTTTTGGCTCGTGGCGCCACCTTTCAATATCAGCC